GGCGAATGCACATGCCCTAAGGCAAAAATCTAAAACGAAAAAAAGTCCAAAATAAAAAGTTTATCTCCCAAGAGACATTGAAACAAGCAATACAAAGTGTAAATAAACATATTTCAATGGAATTTGTATTGGAATAGTATTCAATATAGTTCACACATGGGATGAGATTATTTTAAAATAACTTTTATTAACTGACATAGAGATCCTCTCTTTAGCCTTTTTTGAGTCTGAAAGACATACATTGTTTGAATATTTACATATTAAAAGATAAATTTCAAGGTTTCTGATTATTTGTACAGGGGAGATGTTATCTATAAGGGAGGATTCCTCAGGGAGACTTGAATAAAACACATTTTATTTTCTTATAAACTTTCAAGAAACTGGGAACCTAAAACACACTTAAGACTTTGTACACCAGCATTCATTTCATCCATTGTAACAAAGGCATATGTAATAATTAAAGAAAAAAATTAAAACACATGGCTGGTTTATATTACTGCTAAGTCTAGAATTCCTAAAGGTTAAAGTTGGAGTCTGTGACTTGTCTCTTTTATATTTGTTTGGCAAAAAGCAGGAAAGCTGGGCTGGCTCAATGGCACAGGGTAATATACTGCTTGATTGATGCTAGATCCATATGGAAGATCATAGTTGGGTCTCTAGCTGGTCTGTGCTTGCTGGGAGCATGTGCCTGTGGTCCTGGCTGGCTGGGAAGGCTGAGAGTAGGGATTGCGATGTCAGACCCTGTGGAGGGTGCATGAAAGAAAGAAATAAGCTTTAAAAAATAGAAAAAACTGAGATGTTATATTCTCTTTGCCTCACGTACATTTCTTTTCCTCCTATTATTATAGTGATAATTTAGTTTAATTCTAGACACATTTATTTATTTTTTTTTTTGAGAGGTTTTTGCTACAGGGCGCGTGTGCTCGCCAGACAGTCAGAGAGAGACAGAGAGACAGAAAGCGAGAAATCAACCCCCAGGAGGGATGGCCATGCCACAATCCCTTCTTCTCCGTTCTCCTCTTGGGATCTTGGGCATGCATGCACATGCGCCCGGCGTGAGTTTTAAGCCACCGGGTCTGGGACGCGAAGTGCGGTTGACTGAATGGGAGTCCAGCGACATAGCCATTATGCTAACTGCTGGTCCCCCAGACACATTTTTTGACTGCCTACTAAGTACTAGATTCTGTGCCAGGTGCTCTAATAATTAAAAATTAAATAAAATCACTTAAAACTGGTGGGCAAGACAGGCCCAATTCAACTAAACGGGATACTGTTTTAGTACTAGTGTTGTGAATGGTGCGGGCAAGTCTCTCTTGACAGAAGAAGACTTCCCAGAGGAGCAGAACTTGTTGGTAGTAAAACAGAGGAAGGTCATCCCAACAGAGGGAGAAGTGTGAGCCCAGGTGCTCCTTGGAAGGTTCAGAGTAGATGGGGGACAGGCTGGAGATGAGGCTGGAAGGGCAGGGCAGTTTACTCAAGTCCTTACCTGCATGATCAAGAGGGTAGACTCTACCATGAGCAGTGGAGGACAATGTTTATAGAAGAGTGTGAAGCACATGGAAGGAAAGCTAGTGGTGATTCCTGATAGCCCTGAATTTCTTGATTAGCCCAAGGATTTAGCATTGAGGTTGGCATACCTGATGAGCCCAAGGATTAGCATTGAGGTTGGGATACTGGGCATAATGCTGTCAGGTGTTGAATGGTTGCTGCAGGTGATGGGAAAGGGAGCCAAACAGAAATGAACAAAAAGACTGGCAAATAGCATCTGGCTAAAGATGAAAAATCACGTTTGTCATATAGCCAATTAGCACAGTTATAGCAACATGTAACAATGAAGGTGAACACAGTTGTTTTGATGTTATTGATAACTAATAATTTCACAGACCCAGGTTTTTTGATATCTCTCTAGCCTCCCAAATGCCTGTAGTCACTCATCTTTCATCAAGATCTGTGGTCAAAGCCAAAAATGTGCTGGCGTGGCCTGAGGGGTGGGGTGGGAATTTTTTACCAAGAATAGACATGACGCCTTTTTGACAAGAGACAAATGTTTCATTCAAATGCTGCATTTCGCATATTGGAAACAGTAATGAATTCCTGTGCACCTCTCTACCTAGTTCACAATGTCAGGCCCAAGCATTAAAGTACCTCAAGCTTTCCTCACAAAATTAAATTTAATGTTACACCCTCCAGTAGAATGGTGCATAAATCAGGCATTTGATTTGCATGGGCCGTAGCAAGCAGCTCTGTTCTGGACAAATATAAACCTAACTCTGAATATTATGTCAGGGACAGGAACAAAGCAATCTAGGACTTCCAATAAAAGTCTGGTACCAAGTGTAATTCATACTGGTATTACACTGCTCTATGTCAAGCCTGTTATTAAAACTCTTGTTTTAACCTCCTTTTTTCATTTCAAAAGAAAATGTTTTTTTTGACCTTCCTGTAATTCAGAAAACCAGTGCACAGTTGAACCAGTACTATTTATAAACTGGTGTCTACTAGTGACAACCATGGGCATATTTATTTTCTTTTCCCATCCACCCCCACCCAACATAGAGCACAAGAATGGGTACATATGAGTAATCGAGTGGAAAGAAACAAAAGAAAGGGCACGGAATAAAATGCACCACGGAAGATTAGGTAACATGGATACTCACTGATGTTCTATATTTGGCCAGAGTCCCAAGAGAACGCTAAGAAGAATTTCAGAGCAGACAGGTTTAAAAATGACTCACTAGCCAAGTTAATGCACATTTGGATGCAAAATGTGCACCCAATTCAGAAAAAGCAAGCCTAAATATGTGTCATTTGGTCTTGTTTCTGGCCTCCAGCACATGCCGAGTTACGTATTTTCTGTACTCATATTTTTCCCATTGTAGGATCTCTGAATTCCTTTTATACTAAAAGTAAAATCTCCATGATCTGAAATTGAGTGAGGCCTTGAGATAAAGATTTTTGTTTTTTTACAAATGCAAAGTGAGTCCACCCTAAATCCTGTAAGAATATAAATGATGATGGGCTGGCACATATTCTACTCCACACCAAGGCCTGTCATGTTTATTCTGGATGCGACAGGGGTATTACAAACAGAACTTGCTCCTGAAGCCAAGTGCATTTCCAAGAAGGTACAGCTGTCCAAAACGCATAAGCAGGTGAAGATGTGATCCTGAGAGCTGTGCTGATGATTTGGTTTCTGCAGGGTAATTTCTCCCAGCTGTCCATGAACATCTGTTAGAATGTGGAATGCTTCATGTTCTGAATAGGTGAAAGTAGTTGTCTGAAAAATTAATTTACCATGTTTTCAGGATAGTAAATTAGGATCCGTTCTCATTTGTGAATGGGACACATCAATGGCTATTGATTAAATAGATACACTAACATCAGTTGCTGTGGTAGGTACTTTGGGGAATGTAAAAAATGAATTGGACTTGGATTCTACTTTCAAGGAATTCATTTAAACAGAAGGAATATGAGGTATACATAATTATTGCATCAGATAAAGTATCATAAGACATAGATACAGAAGAGGGATTCATTATTTCTAGTTAAAAGAAATTAGGAAGGATTTGATCATATAAAATGGGGGCAGCAAAGGGAAATCCAGGGGTGGGAAGAGCATGGGTAAGTGCTTAGGATGGAAATCTTATGCACAGATCATGAATGATGAGTAGTTATGGAACTAGTCAGAGACTAGACTACTAGACGAGTAGGCAGAAATGAGACTGGAAAGGTATATGGAGTGGGAAGTAGCCACTGAATATTGAACAAAGTAACTTAGATTTTGAAAATAAAGCAATGTGGAGTCATTAAGGATTTGGGTGCAAGAACATGACATATAATTTATGCTTTTGGAAGATTAATGTGGTGATAGTATATACAATAGGCTAAAGAGTAAAGAATGATATTAAGGAGACTGGTCAGTACTGGAGAGAAGAAACAAGAGCTTAAAAAGAGGAGAGTGGCGGGACCAGCAGTTGACCTAATGGCTATGTCGCTGGACTCCCATGTAGTCGACTGCAGTTTGAGTCGCAGACTCGGTGGCTTAAACTCATGCCAGGTACGTGTGCATGTATGCCCAAGATCCCAAGAAGAGAATGGAGGAGATGAGATTGTGGTGTGGCCATCCCTCATGGGGGGTAATTTCTTACTTTCTGTCTGTCTTTCTGGTGAGTGTATGCACCCTATAGCAAAAATCTCTCCAAAGGGGGAAAAAAAAAAGAGTGGTAGTGGGAATAGACATGAAAGAACCAAGGATTTTACAAGGGGAATTGACAGACTTGGCAACAGATTGGTAAATAAGAGATGAAAGATGATTCTGAGATTTAGGTGGAATGAACTAAGAAAAAAACCATAGATGTTGACAATAAAGTGAATAAAACCTTATTTCTTTTGTCTTAAAAAATATATTTTTATTGAACAGAATGTAATGTAGTTGCTTCATATTTTTTTTTTTTTACCTGAGATCAAAATACAGTTTACAGACACCTGCTGTTATGAGCTCCCCATTCCATACACAATAATTTGGATAAAGTTGAGTGACTTACTGGTTGTTGGAAGAAATATTTCTAAATGATTAGTTTGGTTATAAAATCAGCCTAAAAGTTCTTGACATTTATCATTCTGATTACTTCACTAATATTTTTAGAAATCATTACAGAGAGTCAGAGTTTAGCATGTCCCAAATAGAGCAAATGGATAATTTCAGGTACATTGACCCCGCTGATCATGATTTAAAGATCCGTATTGAAGTTGAGCAGCATCTAGTCCAATCCAAGTTTATTTTGAAAGTACAGTCCGTCCACTTCATGGATAAGGTGTTTTCTAATTGACTGAAACACCAAGCAGGCTGATTTCTAAGCCAGCCTGTCAATACCCATATGGAGAAAACCAGCGCATCCCCCACCACCATCTCTCAGGCCAAATGATTAACTGTGCACCGGTCATTTAGCATAATAAATGTAAAGTCAGAGCGATTGAGTGTTGCATCAGGCCTCCTGCTGTGGAAATAAATGCCCTCCTACCTTGGCAAGCTTAGAGTAGACATAAAGACACCTTATTATTTTTTTTTTTTTTTGGAGAGGTTTTTGCCATAGTGTGCGTGTGCTCCTCAGAAAGACAGAGAGAGACAGAGAGACAGAAAGTGAGAAATCACCCCCCAGGGGGGATGGTCACGCTGCAATCCCTTCTCCTCCATTCTCCTCTCAGGATCTTGGGCACGGATACACACCCGCCCGGCGTGAGTTTAAGTCACCGGGTCTGGGACTCGAACCGCAGTCAACTACATGGGAGTCCAGCCACATAGCCATTACGCTAACTGCTGGTCCCCTCAAGCACCTAGTTTTGAAACAGAGCCTGCATGTAGTTTATCTTATCATCAGGGAAGGTGGTATGTGCAATTATTTCTGTTCTTTGAATTTGAAAGAAATCTATTTTAATAGGAAACCAAAAGTGACACTTTAGTGATCATCAAGACCCCATTTTCTAAAAGTTGACATGTCTCAGCTTCCGAGAGCGTTACATCTTGTTTGTGAGAAATCATATGGACCCTAAAGGTAGTGGCTCTGGAAGAAATGAAGACTCCATTTTGAAATCAGAGAAAGAAGAAACGTAAATGCTGCGGTTACAGAATCTACTTATTACCAAACACATGCACAAAAGGCATATTTTCTCCTTGAAATGCCTCAGCCTTTTAAGGAAATTAAACTATATTTAATTTGTTATGTTGCTGGCTTTGGAATTCA